CCTGCATGTACATGTACCATACCCTGGAATATAATTAAGTTTACCTGACAAGTAATTCAAAACTACACGAATAAGAATAGGTGCTAGCTTGTGGCTTCCATAAAATCAAAACATAAAGAAGCTCTGCTTAATATTTGTAAGAAAATAATGCTAAAGGCGTTAGCTGCACCCTTAATTTTTTTATTTTTTGCAGGTACAAAAAATAAAAAAGATTTAAGCACAACTGTCGCAAAATAAAAAAATCCTAAACTTTAATTGATTTCTAGTTCTACCACAGCTCTTGAAAAATGTTGTAGTCCATATTATTAATTAATTTTAAGTTAAATTATCATATTTTATGTTCACACCAACATGTTAAATTTTCATAAATGCTAGAAGTAGTGCAAGCACATGTTGCATCAAGCGGTTGCCATGTCAAGCCAATTGTTTTTTTTTTACGTAGCTTTTTTTTTTTTTTTTATGTTAAGGGTAAAATTCAAACCCCACAACTATAAATTTACATGAAAAATTTTTAATAAGATAACGGTGATCACTACACCACAAGAACGGTCTCTTTGGTATAGCTTTCTGTTTGGGCAGCTTCACAATCCAACACCGTTGAAGTCTTCAGCTGCTTCTACACCTGAAAATCCCGAGGATGTTTCCTCGGGGAAAACACTCAAACGCTCAAGTCAGCAATATTCAATACTTTAGAGAGAGAGACTCTCAGGGAGTAATTGCAGAGAGAGAAGCGTAGAGATTAATTACCTTCATTGTTGACAGTTGGGGGGTATTTATAGCCCCCAGATACTTACATGTATTCATACATGTAAGTAACTCATTGGCCCATGTGGTGCTGCTCACGTGGGTATGTCTCCTCCTCTTGGGTCTGTGTGTGCATAATTGAGCCTGTTATATGTGGCCCGAAGTGGGCGTTGGGCCTAATCCCAACATTACTCCCCCCTCGGCGTTCGGTTGACAAACTGGATGGGAGTCTTGTTAGCATGGTGCTTGGCTCTAAAGATGAGGAGGGATACTTTGCGTTCATGAACGACCTCACATATGGACGGCCTGACCGGCTTGAAGGCATGGCGCCGGGCCAGATGTGCCAATGTATGGCGGCCTTACCCCGAGCAGATGTGATTACCCCGAGTAGATGTGAGTTGGTTTAACGATCGGTCAAGTTCGATGCTAGCCAGAGGGTCGAGCAGAGGACTGAGCCGATAGTGAACGAGCAGAATGCACCGACCCTAGACGGGCAGAAAATAGCGACCACACTCGTCACTCCGATATTGGTCTTTGGGATACAGAGCAGACGCCTGAACCTGAGGCGAATCCATGATTTGTGCGACCTGATCTCCATAGGTTTTTCGATTTTAGTAACTAGCTGATTTGTCGAGATTTTCTAGTTTTGAATTTTGGCAGATCTGTGAGGAGATCGCGGATTTGCTACGAGCGGATTTGTTACGAGCTGGCCCTTTGACTTTTCAAATTTTGAACTGTGGCGAATCTTTGAGGAGATTTGCCTAAGTCTCAAATTTGTTACGAGCTGATTATTGAAGTTTGTCGCGATCTTATCTTACGGATTTTTCAACGATTGTGGCGAATCTGTAAGGAGATTTGCTCAAAGCGTTTGGTATTCTTCTGCTTTTAACAGATACCCTTTTGCCTCCCCGCAATAAATGCTGGTTCAGCATTCGAGGGGACGTGACAGTTGCAAACGGCGCGTTTTGGATTTTTAACCATAAATGGTTGCCACGTGGTCGTGCTGAACTGGGGGGCCGTAAACAAGCGTACGGTGTTTACAGGGCGCCATTTGAACGGCCAAAACAAAACAAACAAAACAATTTGTTACGTTTTTCATTTCCTTACACAGCATATTCGTACGTTTTCAGAGAAGATTGCAGAGACAGTCACGGCCATTTTCCAGATTTCTAGCGAAAACACCTTTAACTACTCAGGTAAAAATGGCTTCTTTCCACGATGCACGAGAGTTCCGGGGTAACCAAGGTGAAGAGGAGGATGTCGATGTGATATCCGTGGAGCCTATCGCGATGATAGTGCCACCGGAGTTACAGGATTCGCCCAGAACCGCCGCGCCTGGGAGTGACGTCAGTTCGAGCGTGAGCGGTGGTTCTGGGGGCCACCAGCCTTCAACCTCCAGTGATTCGTCCATGGCAGAGACACCTAGTGGGGCGGAGGGCGTTGAGGAGGTTGGCTGTGGTGCACCGGTGACAAGTGCAGCAGCAGAGGTGGTGGTGTTCGAAGGGTGGGAGAGCAAGGTTCTCAGCGGAAGGCTGGACAACCTTCGCAAGGCTCCCAAGACCCTGCCGGCCGGCTTCAAGTTCAGGGCGGTGCTTCATCATGAGGTCGCTGATGGTGCTGCCACGGTGAAGGGGTACAAGAAGCTGGAAGAGATAGTGAGGTGATTCCAGATCCCAAGGACCATCCTAATCCGAGCAGGGACACCAAATGAACGGGCGTGTTCAGTGTCACGGACGGGCTGGGTGCCAGTATACGTAGACCATTTTGACGCCGGTCTACGTTTTCCTCTGCCCGGACTAATTTTTGATGTCTTGGCAGAGTACGAGCTCGCGCTTTCGCAACTTACTCCCAACAGCATAAAGTTCATCATAGGCTTTATGCTGTTGTGCGAAAGGCTGGGGATGCCTGCAAAGGCGGTGGTCTTCAGGTCGCTCTTCCTGTGCTGCTTGTGCCTGTCTACCAGCGGGATGAGGTGGTACTACATTTCAGGCCGGGAGAAGCTGATGATCTTCACCAACATCAGAAATAAGGTAACGAGGTGGAAGAGACAGTTCGTGTTCGTGCGAGATACGCTAACTGACAGGATAACAACAAGCTCGCAGCCCGTCTGTCAGAGTGGCGTACACCGAACACGTATATGAACTATCCCCAGATGACCAGTGGTGATGTCGACCTGAAGAATCGGCTGCTCGACTATGTGAAGGCGAGGGGGCTGGTGGATCTGGAAACCTTGGTTACCCCGGAGCAGATCGCACTTCACGGATTTGTCGACGTGAGAAATCTACACCCTCAAGGTATATCTTTATATAATAGTGTAGTTTCTAGCCGATCTGAGTCTTATACTTTTGTTTGTGCAGGAGTCATGAGCAGCATCCTTGAGCGACAACGTCGGCGAGCTCAAAGCTCAAGGGGCCAGGGCGCCGGGTCTAGCTTCCAGCGTCAATCCCGCTTTGACGAGCGGCCACCTGCTGCACCGGGGCGCAGTTCACAGCACCGGAGTACCAGATGAACGACAACGGACGACCTTCTAAATCTGCTAGTTGATAACACCCAGGTCGCTTAATATTAATAACCATATAAGGGCCTTCCCAATTAGGAGCGAGCTTGCCCATATGTGAATAAGTATTAGTTAATCCAGCCTTGCGTAGCACCAGATCACCGACTTGAAACTGTCGAGCTCGAACTCTCTTATTATAAAATTTTGCAACTCGATTCTGGTGCACCATGTTTCTTATTCGAGACATCTCTCTGACTTCTTCCACTAGGTCTAGATTTTCTCTTAACAATTGTTCATTATTAAGATCGTCATGGCGGTCTGCTCTATTAGATGGCAGACCGATCTCAACGGGGATAACAGCTTCAGCTCCATACGCCAAGCTGAGCGTAGTGCGGCACGACCAAAGCACTTTATTGAGTTCGTCGACCCAATTAGAACGCGAAGCTAAAACACGCGCCTTGAGGCCTCGGAGAACAATTTTATTAGCGGACTCAGCCTGTCCATTTGACTGTGGAGTATAAACAGACGTCAAGGCGAGCTCAATGCCATAGTCGGTGCAGAACGACCTCAGTGCCGTGGCTCGAAACTGTGGACCATTGTCAGCAATGATCCGCTTAGGTATGCCGAACCTATATACAAATGGTCGAGCTGAGTCACTAATTACATTCACAATGTACGAATGGTGTAATTTACCAAAGAATACCTGCACAATATTGAATTGAACAAGAATTCTTCTATCTTCTTTTCTGTTGTCGTGGACAATGGTTTAGCTTCTATCCATTTGGTGAAGTAATCCACCGCGACAACGAGGTAAGTGCAGCCTCCTTTGCCTTTAACAAAAGGGCCGAGCAGGTCGATTCCCCATTGAGCAAAAGGCCAGGGAGAGGAGAGTGATGAAAGCATTTCCCCTGTTTCCACGAAGGTACTTATGCTTAGTTTATAGAAAGACATGAAGTTCGCACGAACTTTAGAACGAGCTCAGATACCTGGCATGTGAATGTCATTAGCATTGAACTGGCAGGTCGGGCACTTTTTGACATAGTTCTGTGCGTCCTCAACCATGGTTGGCCAGTAATACCCATGCCTTATGAGCTTTCGAGCTAAGGTTTTGCCTCCAATGTGCGTGCCACATACTCCTTCATGAATTTCTCTCACAGCATATTCAGCTTCATAAGGAACGAGACAGCGTAATAGGGGCATAGAGGCTGCCCGCTTGTAGAGCTGATTATCTATCAAAGTGAAGTGTGCCGCCCTACGTCTGACCAGCTTTGCAACGGACTGATCTTCAGGTAGCTCGCCATTTTGTAAATAAATTATTAGCGGGGTGGTCCAGCTTGGCGTAGAGGGGTCTGTACTCAACAGTTGGCACTCCGCTGTGAGATCGGTGTAGCTCGGGGCGTCAAGCACCTCGACGATTGTCGACCTCTGATGGTTAAAGTCCTGCGAGGAGGCCAATTTGGACAGCTCATCGGCTCGGTGGTTATCTGCTCTTGGTATTTTATCAATGTGAAAAGAGACAAACATTGACTTCAATCTACTGACCACAGAGGCGTAACGATCGAGCTGGGGATCCCTAACTTCACAATTGCCATTCACCTGGCCCACGACGAGCTGAGAGTCGCTAAAGACTTGAATGCTTTGTACCTTCAGCGTGGACGCCAACTTTAATCCGTAAATGAAGGCTTCATATTCTGCGGCGTTATTGGTCGTCTGAAACTTAAACCTCAGTGCGTGCTCAGACTTAAAGCCATCTGGGCCCACTAACACAGCCCCAGCACCCGATCCTTCATCGCTAACGGCTCCATCAACATATAAAACCCAGACTGGGTGCTCAGGTGCTTTTTCTTCCTTAGTTGCTGAAATGCATTCCACCAGAAAGTCTGCAACGGCCTGGCCCCTTATGGCTGTACGCGGCTGAAATCTGAGGTCATATTCACTCAGCTCGACGCTCCACCCAATAAGCCGACCTGAGAGTTCAAGTTTCTGCAGTATTTTTCTCAACGGCAAATCGGTATAGACAACAATCTGATGTGATTGGAAATAAGCCCTCAACTTACGAGCTGTGTACACCAGGGCAAATGCAGCCTTTTCTGCTAATGGGTAGTTCTGCTCTGCGCCTTGTAAAACCTTGCTCACGTAGCAGATAGGCTTTTGATTCTTATTCTCCTCCCTGAGTAAAACCGAGCTCACTACCTCTCCTGTAACCCCCATGTATAGGTATAGACTCTCCCCTTCCACAGGCTAAGACAGTAGGGGTGCAGATGCCAGATACTGCTTAAGCTCGTCAAACGCCTGCTGACACTCGTCGGTCCATTGAAAGTGTTTAGGCTCTCGCAAGGCTTTGAAAAATGGTAGGCACTTTTCCGCCGACCTGGCTATGAATCTATGCAAAGCAACTATACGACCTACCAAGCGTTGCACATCCTTTATAGTCTTGGGTGGCTCCATCTGCTGAACGGCCTAGACCTTCTCTGGATTTACCTCGATTCCTTTCTTGGATACTATGTACCCCAGGAATTTCCCTGATTCCACAGCAAACGTGCATTTTAAGGGATTCAGCTTCATTTGGGCTCGACGCAAGTTTTGAAAAGTTTCGCTCAGGTTGTGTATATGGTTCTCAACTCGCACGCTGGTGACTATCATGTCATCCACATACACTTCTATGTTTCTGCCGATCTGGAGCTTAAAAATGATTTGTACCAGTTTCTGATATGTAGCGCCAGCATTTTTCAGGCCAAATGGCATCATCACATAGCAATAAATAGCGTCACCAGCATAGAAGGCCGTTTTCTCCTGGTCGTCCAGCAGTAACTGAACCTGGTGATAGCCTGAACTGGTGTCAAGAAAACTCATCCGTTCATGCCCTGCTGCCCGTTCTACTAACTTCTCGACATTTGGCAACGGATGAGGGTCTTTTGGACATGCATCATTGAGGTTGGTGAAATCAATACACATCCTCCACTTGCCGTTTGGCTTTTTGACGAGCACAGGGTTGGACACCCATTCAGAGTACTCCACTCTCTTGATGTATCTCTTCATCTATGGCAGCTTGCTTCTCGGGGCCAAAAAGGCGACGTTTCTGCACCACCGGCCTTCGGGTGGGGTCCATGCTGAGCTTGTGGACTGTCAGCTCTGCTGGGATGCCAGGCATTTCATCAGTAGTCCATGCGAATACATCTTGATTGACCCTCAAAAACTCCAGAAGCTCTGCTCATTCTTCCTCTGTGAGCTTGGTGCCGATCTTGACTGTTTTTTCCGGCACATCAGGGTTTAGAGGAACAGTTTCTACTGGCTCTACCGGCTCTACCGGCTCTACTTTCTGTTCAACGCCCTCAGGTCTATGCTCAATGTCTGAGATGCTCAATGTCTGAGATGCTCATTGTCTGCTGGCCGAGCTGAGTCGGCCTACCACTTTCAGAGTTTCCAGGGGCTACAGCGAGCTCAACCTTCTTAAACGTATCCTGATAACATGCCTTGGCCATCCTTTGATTCCCCTTTAGCACTCCTACCCCCTGAGGCGTTGGGAATTTCATGCATAGATGGGGCTGTGAAATAACAGCCTTCAACTCGCATAGAGTAGCCCTTCCTAATATGGTGTTGAATGCTGACTCCATTTTGACGACCAAGAAGCTGACCGAAGCCATCTTGAAGCGCGGCTCTGAGCCCACATAGATGGGTAGAGTTATGACCCCTTCCACCTGGACGGGTTGATTATCAAACCCGTAGATGGGTCCTTCATACTTCTGCAGCGAGTTCGGATTCAATTGCATCTTCTGGAAGCAGCTCCAGTAAAGGATATCTGGCGAGCTACCCGTATCAATAAAGACCTTGTTGACGTTATGATTACCTATATGGACTGCTGCCACAAATGGATCTGCGTGAGGCATCATAACGTCGGGCTCCCCGTCTGCTCGCCTATAATCTGCTAGGCTGAATGTGATAGCTGCATTCTCCCACTCTGCATCCTCGAACGGCCGCTTCAAGGGCCTGTTTTTGTTGACCGTCATCACCTGGCGGGCATATGCCTTGCGGGCCCGGGCACTCTGGCCCCCAAAGTGCATACCACCAGAGATCATATTGATTGTGCCAGATGGCGGGGGTATTCCACCATACCCAACCCCCCTGTGGTCCTTTGGATTCTGTACAGGTGCTTTCTGTCCTTGCTCACGTCTATTGAACGGGCGTCCCCTGTATGCTCTGTTCGGCTCAGACGAGTCTGGGCCTGCCTGGTAAGGATTTGGATTATTACCGAGATGATATCCAGGTGCTTGAGATCGGCCGTACTCTTGTACAAAGTGGGTCTGGGTGGGTTGCCGAACAAAAGGCTTTTGCACATACCCCTCCAATTTCCCATTGCGAGCTAAGAATTCGAGCTCATCCTTCAGACTCTGACAGTCTTCTGTGTTATGACCGTAGACACGGTGATAGTCGCAGTATTTGCTTCTGTCAGCTCGTGAAGAATCGTGCATTTGTGGAAGGGGTCTCTTGACCCAGTGCTGTATCTGCGCCAGTATCTGGGATCGTGACGAGCTCAGGGGGATGTAGCTGTCATATTTTGGATAGGAAGGCGGTTTCCCTCTCTGCTCGCCAACCTTCTGTTTCTTTTTGTCATCTCTGTTTTCAGGTTGCTTGGGCTCTTTTCCCTGCTTGTCATCAGCTCGTCTCTTAGAAGATTGAAAATCTTCGAACAATATGAAGCTTGCCGACCTATCATTCACTTCATTCCACGATTTGGGTGGATTCTCCAGCAAGTCGTCCAGGAACCGGCCAGGCTTCAAACCATGCAACAAGGCAGATAAGCAAATGGTATCGGGGACGTTATCAATGTCTAAAGTAGCTTTGTTGAACAGTTGCATGTAGTCCCTCAAAGATTCTCCTTCTTTCTGATGAACCTGCATTAGTTCAGTCGCTGTACGTTTAATCTCCCTTTGGCTCGCAAATTTGTTGGAGAATAGCTTGGCGAGCTGGGAGTACGAGTCTATGGAATGTCTGGGGAGTTTGTGATACCATCTCCTGGCTGTTGATTTGAGTGTTGCTGGGAACACTTTGCACATCATGGCATCATTGGCATTCTGGATTCTCATGATGGCTTGATAAGTGTGCAGATGTTCATCAGGGTTGCCTGAGCCATCATATGTTTCCAAGTGGGGTATTTTGAATCCTTCTTGATACGGCTCTGCTGTGATGGATAGGTTTAAAGGTGCACTATCCAAATCGAGAGTCTGCTGGTGCGACCTGGGGCTTTTCAACTCATCTATAGATTTCTGTACGTCCCTTAGCTGCCTTTCCAGGTCTGCATTCTTCCTCATCAGTTCTTCACTATGTTTGGACGAGCTGGGCTCGTTATTTAGCTTCCCCCTTCCCCTTGGCCTGTTGGCACTATTATGTTGCTTAAAGCGGGGGAGTTTCGAGTCGCTACAACCGCAGCAGGTTGCGCATCCCTGTTCAGTAAGGGAATCAGGGGGTCGTCAGGGATCAAGCAGGCAAGGATTTTACCCATTGCCATTTCGAGAATTCTAGTTCTTTCTTCGAGCTCGGTTGTCCGAGCAGGTTCTGTTGACCTTTCAGGTCGTTCATGCTGTGAATTGTATGGTCTGGAAGGTCTTGGTCTTGTTGGATCTTGGGACTGTTCAGGCTGGGTTGCATACCCAGTTGGTGTTCTTTCATCATCGTCTGTTTCGCTTAGGTGATCCTGTTCTGCTCCCCCAACAAAGAGGTTTCTGGGCATTGGTCTCAAATCATTTAAGCCGGGTTCAGGCAGTTGAACGTCCTCCTTCTCGTCCATTTCATTTCTTGGAGGGCGACCTCCTGTAAAAGTGCGAACCATTTTGCCTTTAAGCGGGTCAAGCTACGCAACTTCTTGTTCAGTTTCCCACAGACGGCGCCAAATGTTTGGGCAGCTTCACAATCCAACACTGTTGAAGTCTTCAGCTGCTTCTACACCTGAAAATCCCGAGGATGTTTCCTCGGGGAAAACACTCCAACGCTCAAGTCAGCAATACTCAATACTTTAGAAAGAGAGAGACTCTCAGGAAGTAATTGCAGAGAGAGAAGCGTAGAGATTAATTACCTTCATTGTTGGTAGTTGGGGGGTATTTATAGCCCCCAGATACTTACATGTATTCATACATGTAAGTAACTCATTGGCCCACGTGGTACTGTTCACGTGGGTATGTATCCTCCTCTTGGGTCTGTGTGTGCATAATTGGGCCTATTATATGTGGCCCGAGGTGGGCGTTGGGCCTAATCCCAACACCTTCTTAACATTATAACTGGAAATATAATTAATTAAATATGCTAATTTACTTCAGCGACAAGGTAATTAGGCAAGCACGAGAAATTTATCGGTGTGTACTTTAATTTGTATTGTCTATATTCAACATTATCAATTATTACATTCTTTCTCGCTAAATATGCATGTTTGTCGTTTTCTTGAGGTTCCGAAGGCGGCGTTGTGAAACTGGCAGAGTACTTGAACCGGAGAAAAAATTGATTAAGATTTGTTACGTTAAACTGAAATAGTAGAAGACTTTTTAATTGTGTTGAGTATATATTTAAATATTTAAGTAATAATTTTTTTAATAAAAATAAAAA